GATTTGTTTCAGTAAAGTTGTTGACGACGAGGTAAGCTTGTTGTCAAACTTGTAGATGAAGTACAAACTTACTGGCCTTCAGTTTCGCTTGTTGGCTTATTCCTGCCGTGTGGCTTGGGGTTAGATTTCGGGACAAATTCGCCATTCGAGATCTTGCCATCCTGTGTGTTGCCAATCGACGGACAGGAAGGAGTCTGCATATAAGTCTGCCTGCCCACCGGACCGGAGCCAGCAATTCCGAGCAGTGGATCGTTCCCGACAGTACCCGGAAACTCGACGCGAAGACGGAGTTGATACTAGACAGTGTCAATAAACTGCAAACAGCTCAGTTAGCTCACTTGCCTGCCACTGGATGATCTGTAGGTTGGCGTGTAGGCAATCAAAAGTGTCGAGTCAAACCGGCTTCAAGTTTTTGGTCACGCTTAGTCAGAGTCTTCCAGTTAGACTCTGACAAATCACGAAGACCATATGACTTGAAGCTGAGGCGCGTGCTTCAATGGCTACATACGCGGCATATTGCAGAGCTGATGGTAGCAGAGTCTTTTTGAGGCTTTCTGGGTGGCCATAGCCGATTCGCGGCCCGGCGGGCCATTGGCGGCCTTGCGAATTCGGAATGGCCCAGGTCATCAGAAACTCCCCTCCAGTCATCCGCCTTTAGTCCGCCTCGCTCGAGTTGTCCTACCTCCCCACCAACCACCTCCGCCAACCACCAGCTCAAGGCCTTTTTCATGCACCTGCTGGGTTGTGGCAAAGGTATCCGCCAGTGCAAAGCTGGCGTCCTGTGTTCGGACCGGCCGGCCAGAGCCCGTGGGAAATGCCACGCCGGGCGTCTTCTGCTCTTCGTTCTTGCCAACTACCCGCCAAATGGCTGGTTTGACGACCGCCCTCGCTGCCCAACTCGCGCGAGATCGACTTGACTAGCAAGCACTGGTACGCGGGACAGCAATAGCTGGCTATGACTCGGCGTGCAGCTGCTTTCCGGCCTCAAATCGCCAACTTGAAGACCGCTTCTCTAAGGCGTCTACTTCCGTTCGCGCACCAGAAACCGCCCGCGGACTACGATGTCAACGATCAGAAGATGAAATCTCGGCGCGCACAGACGGTTCCACGATTGCCCGCCGCACTGGCATTCATGGTTCGGGGCCTTCTCGCAGGCCTGCCAGTGGCCCGCCGCTGTCTTTGACACCTTCAAAAAGATGAAGAACAGCGACTTCTTGAGCTGCACCGTGAGTCGTGACTCCCGCTCCCTTCAATTTCTGCCCGTCCTTTGGCAGTTTGACTGCTCGTGCAAGGACGAAGACGAAGACACGCTGGTGTTGGAGCCGTGGTTTTCATGAGGCAAGCCGGTCAGTGCTTGCCGGATGCTGTTCGGGGAACTGGAGCTGCGTTGGGAGCCGTTGCCAAGATAAATGGGCATGCTGGTCCCCCTATCTCATTTGCGGGCCGAGTTTTGCGAAAGGTCGTCGTCGTTGTTGTTGCCGTTGGTCTTTGGATATGTAAGCATATAGCTCTACTTAGATTTGTCGACAACTCACCTCAGGTTTCAAGCATTCGTATTGACCCCCAAATCCGCACAAGTGGGGTGGTTGGTGATCATGTTGAATTAACGCTCGGGCGGGGAGTCGGTCGGTGTGGACTGAGTTTCTTGGAGGAAAGACTGGCGTTGTCATTCGTTCCGGAAGACCTGCACGGTCATAAGGAAGCAAATGGGTCCGCTGAAATCTGCTCACAGTGCAAATCTTCGGGTTGGCCAGCACACAAGAGGCGGGGCTGATGTTACTCATAGCCGTAGATATTCGTGGGACAAGGCACTGTGTTCAATGCCGCGGGAGCCCTTGTCGCCTTGCTGAGAGTGCGGACAAGCGAGGAGAAAGTCAAGATTATCATCGCGTGCCGTCACACGAATCGTGACTTGTCTTTCGACCACAATGTCCTCTGAACGCGGTAAGTCTTCCTGCTCCACGTTTACGCCTGCTTGCTTACTCTGTTGCAGTCAGACACTTCCCTTATGTCCAACGTCTCCAAGACCACTGCCCGTGTCGAGTCAATCAATTCCGAGGGAAAGGGAAGATAGTGGCCGCAAGGTGCGTTCTTTTCCATTCTCTATAAAGCTATTAAACGGTCAAAGTAGGCACATATAAGACCGTCGGAAATACTGCACCAACACAAAAGAGTCGACGATAACTGGGCTAGGCCAAACCTTCAACAACTTTCACTGGACAACATCCTCAAGCTCACAACCCTTGTCGAAACTGCTCTACGCAAGTGTTAACACGACGGACACAACGACGCCTGGGCACCATATCACATTGTCGAAGCGGTTGCGGCTGGTATCTGGAGTCATATTGATGTCGGGGCTACTATGCGTGCGTGTTTGCCAGTCTCTAACATAGCTCTTTTGCTGATTTATATTCTGTAGCACCAAGCGTTGGCCACAACAAGCCCGAAACTGGGAAACCTCTCTCTCTCTCTGATACAAGCTGCGCGAGGTTAGTGTTGGCTCAATCCCAGCACTTTCACTTGTTGACCATGGCCAGAATTACCCGATGTTCGCCAGCTAAAGTGCGGAAGAGTCGACATGTATTTACTCATTATTTATTCTGCATCCACCTTACCAAAACCTCAGCTGTCAACGACTGGCGTTTGTGTCGAAAGGTGAACTGTACAAGCTCATGACCATTTGCATCACAGTCGGCAGGGATGAGTCTAGGTGGTTGGCCCGGAACAATCCAGATTCCAGACTCAGCATATGTTGTTGTCGCAACGCTGTTCACGCCGCTGACCCGTTGTATAGCGTCCGGAAACGCCGACAGCTATGAGTACTTTGCGCAAAACTCCCTGCTGGCGGAGCCACGGGTTTGAGTGGCATCCGTACCTTATAGCTGCCTTTTTGTTCAAGTACATCGAGATTCTAGCTGTTACAGCCTGGCATGTGTGCGCTCTCTTGTGCCATAGTTCAAATCCAGGCAATGGGTTTTCGACCAATGGCCTGGGGCTTTGCAGGCGTGTTCCAGTTGCTGATACATTTGCGGCGGTTGACAGCATTGGGCGCAGAACTCTGAACATAACTAGCAGTTCTGGCACGTCTTGGCGGCTGTGGCCGCTGCATCCGCCATCTTCGCCGTTGTCTGTGTTCCGATCGGTGAGCGCCGGGCTCATTTTCTATTCATTCTCGCTGAAACCTTTAGCACAGACAGCACTAACACATTTGTCCTACAAGCTGTCCAATTCTCGAGGGAAACGGGTCAGTGGCTGCGCCTGCGAGCACCGACATCCGTTATGACTCCCCTCAATGGAGCTCAGACGCCAGGTGCTTGGTTGTTTGAAATGCACAGGCGTACCAGGTGTGTAACCAACCACCCTCCCCTCACTGTCTCACCCGACTAGCGGGGAGTTGTCTTGCTCTCCTCTTGGCCATCTAACTGGCATTGCGTCTGTACTAGTAACAAGATATATGTATTTGTTAGATGATATAATGGCAAGGCATTGGGTTCATGCTCTCAGTGTACCTGGCAATGTTAAATGCAGGATGGTAGCTAATTATAGAATCCCAATCAGAATCCCAATCAATGATGGTCCCAGAATCTGATTACGATATTCCAGGCTGGAACATGTGATATATTCCAGGCCGGAATATTCAATGAAAACATGAGGCATATTGAGAATATTCCATGGATCTGCCCAACATTTTCCGGGCTGTCATATATATGACAGATGGTGAGAAAATTGAGAATATTCCACGGATATTCCTGTCATATTCCAGCCTAGAAGATGGAATGAATACAGCCTGTAATATTCATAATATTCTCAACATATTCCAGGGCAGAATATGCTCCATTGCCCGCAGTGGCAGCGACCTGTAGCACGGTAAGAAATCGCTCGGCACGAAGAGGGCAACGAACCACACCGCTCTCACGATCTTCTTGCACCACTGAGTGGGCAATGTCGAGTAGAGCGCCCACTTGTTTACGCCACACGATATCGAAAGCGTGCCTAGACCAACCCAGAGCCGACCAGTCTGGTTTACGCAGTCGAATAGTATACCACTGCCCAACGAGCTCCTTTTCAGCACATTAGCCGGATCTCTCAACTCCCCAGAGGACTCACAGGTGAGCTAACCAATTCACCCATCAATACGAAGGATACAGCCTCGTCAGGTGCCAACGAACCCGATGCGCGGCAGAAGGCATTTGAGTTGTAGTTCGTACCGGAGGGCTTGAAACAAGTCTCGTTATATCTCGCCGAGCCCACCCAATCGGTTCCAAAACTCTTCAAGGCAGCGAGACAGTGCACCGGATCCAGCGAACAGTCAGGCGTCAGCACATTGCGGGGGGGCGGCGTCGGAATAGAAAAAAGGGCAATTGCGGACATCGTGGTTAACCGTAGTGAAGGTATCCGATCGAGTTACGAAGTGACCACACTCCTCTTAGCCATGGAGGGCCACCTCGCTCATCTCACTAAAGCCCAAATTATTACAATGGTGCGAGACATCGTCGCGCCAATATCGGCAGGGAATCAGCGTAACAGGGCGACCCTTATCGCGTTCCTCGAGAAACACAGCGATGATGCCAAAGAGGCTATGATCGCCGCTGCGCGGCAAATAGCAGCTCCTAAGCGCCGGGCGGAGGCCCCCGTCAATGAGCGGCCCAGAAAACGTCAGCAACTGGAGAAGCCGAACACAACAATCCACACCCCGCAGACCGATAGGACTGCAGATAGGGCACCACCGGAAATGACCAACGACCTTCCTGGGGAGGTGGCTCCCGACTTTCTCCGCATACCGACAGCTGAAGTCGTCCAAGACTGTATCGCGCGGTAGGCGCTTGCCTTGCAGCTGTACTATCGCTGACGAGTAATAGGGTCATTGACAGGACCAACAACGCCTCAATGCGGAAGGTGGTGTGTATTAGCTGCGCTCGACGCATTTTCGCACGGGAAACGGCGCGCCATGACTATCCGAGAAATTCCCAACAAAGACATGCTGTGTCCTACACATCCTCATGCCGCACACGTTCTCCACGAGGGCAGTCTGCTTCACGCGCCGGCAGAAAAAGACCAATCCATCTGCGAAAAGTGCTATGGCGAAGTTGCGCAAAGGAAAACGACCCCAACTGTCGTTAGCCAATAATATGTGGATCGGCGCAGTGCCCACCCAATTGGCAGTCCTCAGCCTGGCCGAGCGGCTCCTCATATCGCTACATTTTCCCGCGTGCTATATCATCAAGCTATATGCGCGCAGTATGGGCAAAAGTTCCAGCGCTGACGCCATGAACCAGGGACTACGGGGAAATGTGGCCTCTGTAAGCACATACATGTCCCGTAGTGGGAACTAACTGCGCTCTAGTACAAATTGAATACCGACAGAATAGCAGAGATGGTGGCTGGTAATCTAATGCCACATCCCGCAGAGATACTTGCGGCTACTATCGGCATAACCTTCGTCGGAGGAAAGAACCAGCCCCTCCGCGTATTCCCCAAGCAAGTAGAAGTGAGCCGGTTCCGCGTACATGACGCCCTTCTATGGTTGAAGGAAAACAACCCACTGTATGCAAATATCACCATCAGCGCGGAAACCCTTCAGCAATTACCCGAAAGCGGCGTACCGGACGAGATTAGAACCAACGTTCGCTATTCTGAAAACATCGATGCCGTCCAGCGAGAGCACCAGAACTACGTGCCCCCTGAGCACGAGGTCGAGGGCGACTACGACTTCGAGGGGCTGGACGAGGGGGAGATTTTTGAGAGAGGACCCAACGACGGGCGAAGGTGCGTTCGCAGACCGCATCAGTACATATATCAATTGCGACACAGTACCGAGACATCAAGCAATTGTCGAGGACGGGGAATCGACCGACGAAGAAGATTACGGTAAGCATTCGATCACCAGCAACCCACGATAAGTTAAGTCGCCCTAGATCCAGAAGTGATACCGCTTCAGAACAGTAGCGTCCTGGATACAACTGGAGACGAGATCCCCGATATCGAGCTGTTCCAGCACGCAACCGCAAACGTGGCCGGGCACGTTGGGCCCGCTGATTATCTTGTCCGCAAAAGTCATGGATACGTCAACGAATATGGCCGCGAAGATGCAGAAGGGAATCCCATCGACGGCGGACCCGAAAACCCCAATCATCTGTTGGGAGCATTCCCGACACTTTTCCCCTATGGCCGCGGAGGTGTCGAAGTCGATCGCGAGACCAAAGTACCATACGAGACTCATATTCGATGGGCGCTTCAGTATGATGACGGTCGCTTCAGGAAGGACATATACTTTATGTTTCAAGCGTTTGGCGTTATCCAGAAACGACAAATATGTCGCGCGGCATGTCTGCAAGTCAAGCGCAGTTCATTCGCAGTCCATAAACTCGCCTTTCAACTGATGACTCCTGGGGACCTCATGAAGGCGAGTGAGGAAGAAGCCAAGAACAAACCGATCTCGAACCCAGTCATAAAGTCGCTGCGCAAACAACTAACATCTGTCCGCGCCAAAGTGGACGGAACGGACGAGAGTCGAGTGGCTATCCGCGCACAAATATGGGGTTTAACTCTCCGATTTAACCCGCCTACTATTTGGGCGACCCTCAATCTATCTGACATCGGCGACCCGGTCGCGCAGGTATTGGCTGGAGAGGATATAGATTTGGACAACTTTGTCGCCTCCGCCGGCCCTGGCCGAGACATCCGAGAACGCAATATCGCTGAGGACCCCTTCGCATCAGCCGAATTCTTTCATTTTATGGTTAACGTCATACTCGAGGAGTTGTTTGGTATCAAGATTCGGGCCAGAGGGGGCATTGAACGGCGGGATGGTGTACTCGGCGTCGTAAATGCCTATGTCGCCACTGTTGAATCGCAAGCAAGGGGTTCTCTACACCTTCACGCGCTATTTTGGCTATCGGGGGCACCAACGGCCGAACAGATGAAGGCAGCGCTCGCGACGGAACGGTTCCGAAAGAGGGTGAAAGACTTTGTCGACTTTGCCATCAAAGCGCATTTAACTCAGGACGATAGCAGAATGATGGAGGTGCCGCGCAAGTTCGGCATAGCCTATTCGAGACCCGAGGATCCGAGACGGCCAGAATACATTCGCCGACGCGACGAAGCCGAGCATAGAATCGTGCGCGCGGTACAAACACATGGCAAGTGCACATTGAAGACGTGTCTGAAGCAGCGTAAGGGGGTGATGGTGTGCAAACGACGAGCGCCATGGCCCGAGGCGCCTGAGTCTTGGGTCGACGAGCGAGGAAACTGGGGCCCAAAACGCTCGTATGGGCGCTTAAACGGTTGGAATCCTGCACTGCTGCAAGTAGGACGATGCAATCAGGACATGAAGCTCATCACGAACGGCGGCGAGACGCGCGACATCACGTTCTATATCACCCTTTATATAGCGAAGAAGCAAATTCAAGCATTCAACGTGTCGGCGTTGCTGGCCAAGGGACTCGAGTTGCATCAGAAACTGTCGGGCGCGGCAACTCAAAATCAAGGACGAAAACAAGTTATTGTTGCAACGCTGCGCCAACACTCTCAGTCGACGTCACGAACTTAGTGGCCCGGAGGTCGTGAGCTACCTGATGAATTGGGGGGATCGCTATATCTCTCACCAATTTACGGTGGTTTATTGGGACGAAGTAACATGGGCCATCCGCACGTCGTACCCTGGTATCAGCGTGGCGAGGTAATTTGGACTTATGACTCAGACAATTAACCAACACTCATCAGGCAGATGGACGACCCGCCGCATCATGAATTAGCGGAAGGCGAACCTATAGCGGTGAGTGTGATCCGCAGGAAGTCCCGATCTAACCACGTGACCCCAGGAGCCGCCCGCACGCGTGCAGTTCGTGGATGGAAAGCTCGAAATCAAAGACCAACTCAAGGATTACACGGACCGCGGGAGGGAGTTGGACGAGATGAATATGTATGACTACTTCACTCTCACGTACCACGGCGAGGAACTGCGAGGGCCAGATCTAACGCCAGATGAAGAGGAAGACACTTTGGGTAAGACATCTTCATGAGGAGGCGGTTCATAGGACTCAATGAGAATCAGAACAGTCAAGGCGAGGACGACGTCCCTAATCGTCGCGTCGCTTATTTGGCTACCTCTAACCGTACTGGCTGCAGGGTCTTCCGAGGAGAGCAAGCGGAGAACGTCCTACATCTCATGGGCAAGTGGATCCCCAGCGCCAGAGACGCTAACGTAGCGTATTATGGGGCGCAGATACTTGCGCTGCTAAAGCCTTGGCGTAGTATGCGCGATTTGCAGGGAACCCACGACTCAATAGAACAAGCACTAACCGACTTCATGTCGGGCGCCACACGCGAACAGCGTAGAATTGTCGAGAACCTCCAGTACTATCACGAGTGCGGCGACAGCGCCAAGGCCCGGCGCGAACAAGAGGATGCGCTGAGGAGTCGATCTGGCAACCATGACGGGACTGGCGCGGTGGACATCGCCTCTGCAGGCATGTCCAACCTAAATTTCACAGAGGCGGACGTGGAAACGGCACGTGTGCCAACCGATATGCCATACGAGAAGTGTTGTATGGGCAACGCGCACTTACCATCGCACGAGACCGCGGGATATTCCAAGAAACGGCGACGGTGCCATCGGCTGCTCGCCAGGGAGTAACGGTGGCGACGAGGAGTGAGACCGAGATGTTCGAGCAATGGGGCCGGGAAGTAGCGGCGATGACCCGCAACACCCAGAACCAGGTCGAACTTCCCCTCGCGATAGACGTTGACCGAGGGGCAGTACTGCGAGGTCGTGGCGAAGAAGCGGACGTGGAACGTATTGTGCCAGACGAAGCACAGCAGCAGGTGGCGCTGGATGCTGTGGTCGCGATACTCAACCGAGAGCAGCGTCGGGCCTATGACATTATAGCGGACCACCTGTCTCTCACATTGGGCGGTGCAAACCCCAAACAACTGCTAATGATCATCTGCGGTGAAGGTGGTACCGGAAAGACTGTCCTCATCAATGCCGTGTCACAGCTATTCGACAGTTTCCAGAAAGCGGAATGGCTGGCGAAAACGGCGACAACCGGCGTAGCGGCTAGCTTGTCAGGCGGTCAAACCATCCACAACTGGGCGGGCGTGCCTGTTAAAAAAAAAATGCAGGTACGACGGAGAAGACGATGGCGAAACGACGGCGAAATATCCTCCCTTCTAAATATGTCACCATAGACGAATACTCAATGTTAACGACCAAAACGTTGTTGAAGTTGTCGGACATCCTGTGGCAAACAGAGTCTCAAGCGGGGAACACTACAGTGGACAAGGACTTTGGCGGGAAGAACGTGATATTACTGGGTGACCCGCACCAGTTCCCGCCGGTCAATGCGGCAAGCCATGCACTATATTGCGAAGCGCACAAAGACAATACCGACGGAGGATTTGGACTGGAGCTATTCCGCCGGTTCGACACGGTCGTCATCCTGACTGAACAGATGCGGACGCGGGACCCGGTCTGGATGAATATACTTCGACGTCTCCGGACAGGGAGTTGTACAGCCAGCGACATAGAAGTCGTAAGGTCCTTGATGGTCGACGACCCACGCAATGGCGCAATTTCATGGCAGACGGAGCCTTGGCGCAGCGCTGTATTGGTGACTCCTAGGCACGGGGCACGCGTCGCGTGGAATGAAGCGGCAGTGGAGAGGCACGCGAATGAGACTAAACGCAAGGTTTACCGGTCGTTGGCTGAGGATTATGCCTATGTCGCCAATCGACCCCCCAATATGCGAGAACGCGTGTGCATCGCTGGCATGTCCAACAAGCAGACAGGCCGACTGGAGGAACAGGTGGACATAGTGGTGGGCATGCGCGCAATGGTTATGTTCAACATTGCCACAGAGGCGGATCTCGCTAACGGCACCCGCGGTACGATTGTCGACGTAAAGCTCGACATGCGCGAGCCGATGCCATCCGTTGAAGACGCCGACGGCCGGGTTATGCTAAAATACCCGCCGGCCGTGGTACTATTTAAGCCAGACAGCAGCTCTTTCGGAAAGTTTCGGAACCTGGAGGAAGGCGTCCTACCAATCGTGCCCTCGACGGGAACTTTCACGGCAAAACCATCAGCGGTTACAGACGCGTTCGATATTAAGATCCGACGGCGACAATACGCGATGACTGCGGGTTATGCATTCACGGACTACAAGTCGCAGGGACAGACACTAGAATTCGTGATCATCGACCTCCAAAACCCACCGAGCGGTAAGTTGACGCCCTTCAGCGCCTATGTAGCACTGTCGCGCAGTCGCGGGCGGGATAGCATCCGCATTCTGCGAGGATTCGACACGGCACTGTTTACTACTCACCCTTCTGCAATGTTGAGGATCGAGGATGCACGACTGGCGCGGCTGAACGCCGAAACCGAACAGAGATGGGAACGCAGGCGAGGAGGCAAGACCCTGTAAAAGCTGCTGTGGAATATGTAGATAGGGGAGCCAGTGAATCCAAACAGGGGTGTGACGCCCGTAGTTCTTGCTAAGCTTATGTCCAGCTCGACCCGCACCCGGCGATCCAAAGATGTTTGCGTGGCATGTCCGACCCGATGAGGGTAAGATAATCAAGTAAGCGGGTCGACTGCTAATTACACACATAGGCTGCTGCGATCAGATCACTGGACAATGAATCGTCTGCCATAGACGGGCAGACATTGTACGGCAAAAGGGTCTATAGTAACGAGTCGTGGACACGGATGCTCCCAGTGACGCTCGCTTTAGTGGACGAAACTCGACTGTCGATAGCAGCCCGCAGTGCGGAGGACTACATCAAAACCACTGAAGTAACCTGGTGGATTCTTTGTGCACTGGCATACATGGACATTATCAAGACGGAGGAAGCTTGGCTGACTACGCTTTGGCCGAAGTTATTCCCTTGGATGGAGATGCTGTCACAGAGAAGCGGGCCCGTGGTGCTGGGCACAGACGTGACTGAAGCGACAATAGTGTGCCTAGCCGCTATGCCAGTGGGCCACTTCGCCGTCGTGGATAGAGTGAAGAAAGAAGTAGTCGCCACGAGAGGTTGTCTCACAATGGTGCTGTCGGGGTGGTCTCGTTGCTGCCTTCCAAACAACCGAGGGAAACGGTGGTCAGAGGTCGCCATCGGCACCGTATACCACCTGATAGCGATGCTGGACAACAAGATGGATGTAGGGGAAGTTGTTGAAGGTTGCGGACCGAGCGCGAAGGATATAGCGCGTATGACAGTGGCGACACTGGAGACCGCAAGCAGCACATGGAAGAAGGACGTATCGCCCTTTTTCGTTGTTGCGACTGCCAATTTCTGGATCTCCTGCGATCACGCGTTGGATTCTACCAAACTGAGACGGGCCTGGTGGCGAGAGGGAGCAATTAAGGAAACGACCCGGGTGTTGGCAATGGTGATGAATCAACGGGAAGCAAGTCACAATAGGCTTGTGCCGGCCGAATTGCTCAAACTCGTATATCGCATGGCATACGGAGTCGGACCTCGAGCATGGGCGGTAGCCATCCAACAGGGTGTAATCGAGAGCGCGGCTATGCTCTTGGACAGTACACCACTATCTGGTCGGAACGCTATGCTCCAATTGATTCAAGCGATTTTGTTTAATGGCGTTCGGCTGGCCATGTGGGATCCGTTGGTGGTCGAGGCACTGTTGGGCCGGATGGCGTCAATCCGCGGGATCACGGAGCTTAGAGCGTTCAAGGAGACGGAGTCGACGTGCAAGTGGGGGGAGTTCTGGGATGAAATAGGGGGGCGGGCTGTGAGATTCCAGCTAACAGAAGAACAGGTCAGGCGCAAGATGTGTGCCAAGGTAAGCGAAAAGCGCAGAAGACACCGAAGAATTGGGCATTAACGAATGGCAGTATGGAATCATCACGGAAGACGGACAACTGAAGCGATGCGGGAATTGCAAGGAAACGTTTTATTGCGGAAAACCTTGTCAGAAATCTGGTTGGCAGCAGCACAAGGAAGAGTGCAGTGCTAGAGCAACAAACCGAGAATGTAAGTCCTGCAAGTTCGGACTGCTTTAATCGGCTCAGATATGCCAGACGCGAAAAAGATGGGTTTAAACGCGGGGACGCGCAATTTGATACGGAAGAGTATTGAGTTTGACTTATCGACGATACCGGATGAGGTGAGAAGGGGGGTTTGTATGGATGCGAAAGGCGGAGAAGTCGTGATGATTTACGACTACCGCACAACCCGAGTGGTGATTGAAGTGGCCGATGCGGAGGAGTGTGGCAACGAAGGGTTATTCGAAGCGAGTGGAGGTAGACCCATCAACGCGGTGAACCGTGAGTTGCGCGAGCGAGTGGGCACCGATGTTGTGATGCTGCTGACAGAGAAGGGCGAATGTTGTTGGATGGTTCCAAGGTACAGTTCGGAGGAAATGAACATGGATTGGTGGAAGTCTGTAGACGACAAAAAAGTAGATACAGTATTTCATTAGAGACGAGGGAAAGGACTGCGAATATGATGACGTCATTTGTTGACATTTATTTGGAAAATCCCCGTTGATGGGAATTATGGGAATTTAGACCGGGTGGGACCTTGCAAAGCAAGGTGAAGCAAGGTGACTGTCACAGTTGATTGTCACCTCGTCACAGACAGTGACACGCCTTGCTTTTGTTTCTTCGAGAGCATTTTGGAGAACCACGCAAGCGGACTACGGGAGATTCCGAGCATTCTATAAACAGCTGTAGTGCATTACAGTGACCGCCACACTATGAGCGTACTTAATTTGTTCCGCGTATACTTATGTTCCAGTACCAATCCCTTTAACTAACAAAAAGTCCCAATAGTTCTCTAAACTGCGGTGTCCCCAGTCCAGTAACTAAAGGATAATTAGCCTTATGTTGCGCAAGTAAAATTTCCAACTTACCTGGATCCCAGCCTGCAGTCGCCTAAAGTACCGCGATCAACGGACAACCAAAATTAGTCCACAATATGATATCTTACATTGAACCCCGCAGTTCCACAGCTCCACATCTTGTCAACCTCATTGTAAGAGTAAGACCGAATCACGCACCCAGGATTATTACCAGAGGTCACATCCGTGAAGCCATGGCCTCGATGCTTGTACAGGAGTGGATTAAGAAAGCCGAGCGAAGGCTGCCCAGCAGCAAGGCGTGCGTCATTTAGCAATGCAACCAGGCCCGCAAAGACTGGCGTCGCAGCAGATGTACCCCCAATGGAGATAGGCTCGTCTTGGAAGTAAATCCTGAACTTGCGTGACTGCGCAGAGACATCTGGAATGCCCTGGAAAACTGCATTAACAGGCCAGACGACGACACAGAAGAGCCCCCTCTTACGCGACCCGCGCTACGAGTAGATCCTCAGTACTGGTGAACGAGAAGAAGCACGAAATGAACGAACCGATTGAATAGGCCTTCGTATGTCCGTTCAGGAAGCTGCTTGAGATAGCCTTTGACCGCCTCGTCTTGATATCGCGGCCTGGAGGATCGGACCGTTAATATATAGATTAAGCTAGAATCGATCATGATCGAGAGGAGAGCCACCTTGTGAAGTAGTCGCTGAAGCCTCCCCCACTAAAGCTGGCCGCCACTTCTGGGATATCTGTAGTGCCTCCCACTGAAGTCACACTACTTACTAGTGAGCGTGGCGGTAAGCTTGCAACAAGAGACTCACAATGGACACGATGCGGGGAAAGCCGGCATGAATCTGGGGGTGTTTAGACAGAGAAAAAAAGAACAGTTCAACGGAGCATGCCTGGTCTTGGGCTTGCCATTGTTCGTCCAACAAGTTTGACTGTTTGGGTCGGAAACACCGTCTCCAACGCCAAAGTCGCCTGAAGCAAATACAAGCGTTGAACCCCGACAGCCTAGATTGTTCTTAAGATTCATCGACCCACGAAGTTGGCAGCCCCACCAAGCTCAGCAAATTTTTTACAAACGCGGCTGGCATAAGTAAAAGGCACTAGATGAGGATGAGACAAAGAAGGTAAGATACAAGAGTTGGTGTTACCCGTCTGTTCATCGTCGGCATAAGAGGTTGATATCGTCGGTGGAATATGATCGGAACCTAGGACATGCTCGAGCCACTGCAGATGAACATCATTTGAATGAAGGTTAAACCAGTGTTCGCCCACATCAAGATAAGGTTCATTAGTGTCTGTGCAGCAGTTAGCTCTCCATTATGTGGTATAGAGGGGCTGGCAATTAACCGACGGGCGTATGTGTATCTGGGGAGAAGGGTGGGTGACCCCCAGTTGACCAAAACGTTCCTGGTGTCGGATAAGCGACACCAAAACCGAATTGGGTATCGAGATTCGCTTCCTCCCCAGCGGCCGAGATCGATTGGTTATTCTTACCACCTATGATGCAGGCGTCAGAAAGAGTTTGAAACACAGACTTTCAGCAGGGAGGTACCATTCACGAGCACGGTCTTGAAGGTTGAATTGACAGCTGCGGGCAGTTGGTCGCGATAAAAAGCCGCCAAATCCCGTCGATTGGCATTCTGTTCAAGGAAACCTGAAAGGCAGTCAATTCTCCATTCGAGCATTTGCGTACTATAGCATACCAGTGATACCAATCCCATTCTTCCTTGTCGCTCTGGGCTTATACCAGGCAGCATCGTAGAGCTGCATTATACAGCTGAGGGTAATCAGCGGCCCATTGCAACTCGGCAATGCAGGCGGTGGCGGCGCCACAATGTCGCGGCCGGTGCGATCAATAATAGAGGGTAGATTGTGCGACAAGGCGAATATGGTGGTCGGTTGAATGAGTTCGATGTGGTCATGAAGGTAAGTCGGGAGACTGTAGCTTGTTGCACGGACCAAAGTCGTGGCACTGGTATGTTCCCATGAATAGTATTCCTGATACACATTTATCGAGAATGCCACGGAAGGGTTGACAAACGTACGGTCGATAACATCTGCTCAACAAGCCTGACAGGGATTATAACACTGACCCAATCTTTGGCCGAAGAGCGGACGGCGTTGGAGATATTGACCCCAAATGAGGCGAGCCAATCGTCGACCATAGTCAAGCTGGCCGCGGAAGGAGTGATGTACTCTTCGACCTGGTGCCTAGACAAATGGTCACCGTAGCGAATGTGGTCAGGATCGCTGATCTGATATAAAGCGTCTTCCAAGCCAGCAAAATCAGGCTGAACGAGGGCTATCCGCAAGCGAATGGGAAGGTCGGCGGCGGCGCGTGCTTTTCTCGTCCATCCACGGGGTACAGCAGTCATTTCCTTGACTTGAATATTAATATCATCGTTTGTTGGAGCCACAGCAGCGCTAAGCACAGCGGATAAGGAGAAAATGGAACGGAGAAGAGAAAATAGTCGTCGCATGGCCCCCTAGACGGAGCGTAGGATCGTAGATGGACATTTTTCCGCAAGTCCAGCTTTATAGAGCCTATGAGATACTTCCGAGGCAGCCTCAGAAGTCTTCTCATAAGGCGGCTTAATCGCGGTGGCGCTGGCGTGGTGGACTTTCCGAGCCGCTTACGATATGCCAGAGCTTCCTCATTTGCTTAACCGCTCTCGTATTCCAACAGCTGCCGGCTTCACAGCTTTGTCTTTCGAAGTAACTTGAGGAAGCTCCGTTAAAGCGTCGACGACTGCCGAGGCATGGTGAATGGCGTAATTGGTGTACTTCTTGCGCAGAAGAGATCTGCCTTGTATAACAGGCATTGTTGTTTTCTAAAAAAAACATCGAGGTTATAACACATCTCCCAGTGGAACTTGTCCAGTGCCACGCTGGAGAGGTTGTGGTTGGTTGGGGGCGGGTTTCCATCCTATCTGAAGGATGTTCATTTCGTTTATTCGACAAACCAGTAATGAACTTGCCATGTAAATAATTTGAAACGTTGCTGGGACAGTTCCGTCATCGAGGCCATGGAGAGCTGAATGTACGAGTTGAGTTGCGGAACGTTGCACGGCAAGGAACTTACCAGAATAGATAGCTGACGCTGCTGCAATAGTGTCTCGACGAAGGGCACGACGTGGCCCCAGAATAGCATTCCCTTCGCCCATGGCACCCAAATCGTCCATCAAGTCCCACATGCTTGGATATGCCACCTTTACTTCGTCCACATCCACAGTTAACAAGGAGAAGCCAGCACGACCCATGAGGTTGGATATGTCTCGTGTTTCTGTGGCACATATCAGTTGACGAAGAAAGGATAGAAGAGGGACCCATATACCGGTCATCGGGGAAACATGTGGTGCTATTCCCCCCTCTCGTTCTTGCTCAGCTAATTGCAGCGAAGTTCTGAGTTCGAATAACGTGTCCCCACCAAACATCGCTCCTAGAAAGAGGCCATCCGGTTGAAGAGCTTCGCGAATCTGGATTAAAGTCCCTAGAATATGTTAAGTATGGTCAATATCAATGAGAATTGACGAACCTGGCAGGTCATTGACCCAGTGTAAGCTGAGACAAGAAACAATCGCCTCCTGCGAGTTTGGCTTAATTATCTCCAACAGCCTCTCTTCATCACCATGGATGCGCTCGACTTCGACTGGGTCACGTCCGCAAACGACTTTTCGTGACACACAGTTGCGGCATACCTTCGAAGTCCGACGTGGGGTCGCGGAACAAGGAGTTCTCTAGAGAAGTTTACTTTCACACAACAAAGACTGCTGGCTCGCTCACTGCTGTTGTCAACCATTATGGACTTTTGTGTCTTGCCGAGCTCTAACAATTTTGTGAAATGGCCTGAGCCAGATCCCAGGTCCAAAACGGTGTTGAACGTTCGCTTAATGTCCTGACAGGAATGAAGAGTCTGAGCGAAACGCGTTTGGAATATAGTAGGCTAACCATGAATCGTTCCATCATGCGATCCGCTACCTCGTCGCGGACGTAATCGACCGTTCTACTCGATTCACGCAGGGCGGCCCGGTCCTTCTGCAAGCGCTTCGCATTTCTGTCGAAGACTTGGTATGTTCCAATTGTGTGGGAGGTCGATGAAGAGATGGCGGCTCGACGAACAGTTGAAAGCAACATGTGTCACGCGTAATGCGTGACACAAAATCTTATGGCCGACTCTATAGCGATATTCGGCGAAGGTACCTTCGAAGAGCAGGCATGTTCAATCAATGACTTGTGGGATCTGACTTATACTGTCCAGATCCAAGAGCTCGTGAACTATCTCGTTAGAAACAAGCAGGAAGAAGAACGGGTGATCTTCATCCGACCATTCCAAGACGCGCTCAAAGGCGCAAAGCCACTCGATGAGGATGAAGAGCGACGGAGAAAAGTATTCTCCATGGTTCTGGCCGAGACCAAATCATTGGGCGAAGGTTCAGAAAAAGGTGTGTGTTTTTGAATGATGGAATTCTGTTTGCCCACCTCCTTGCAGAGATCGAAGGTTTCTTCAATCTAATCAACGCCCATCTACTCTCTCTCTATACGCCCGACTCGCCAGAAACAAAACTGCATGTATCTGCTCTCATAGCAATCTTCTCCGCTTCAGAACAGGGCTTACTCAAGTACCGTTTGTGCGTGCAACCCTTCCAACTACTCTACTCTACTCTTGACTCAACTGTACAGGCTCTCTAACCTCTTCAATGCCCTACCGCGCAAGTCTCCGCTGCGCCTCACTGTGTATTCGACACTGCTAGAGCTAGCGATCGCCAATGAGGAATTAGACGCGCTACAACTCACCCGAACCGACGTAGAAAAGTGGCTGCGCGAGTGGGATGTGCCTGGGGAGCAAAAGAGTGTCTTCCTCAAAACCTTGGCTGACGCGTATGAGAAGTTGGGTCAAAAGTGCGTTGGCTTCCACTTGCCCTCCCTTGCCGATTCGCGTCTAGACCAAAAGCATACGAGTATTCGATAGCATACGTCCGCTCGCTCACTCCTGGCTCTCCTACAGCAGAATCCGCCGCCGTAGAGTTGATCGCAACTGCCTTACGCCTACCCTTTGTCTTCGACTTTGACCCGCTTTTCAAAATTGACGCTGTCGTCGCCCTCAAGGGTCACGATGTCTTCTCACTCCTCCAAATATTCCTGAATGATGGACTGGTCCAGTTCAACGAGTGGAAGTCAACAAATCCGGACGCCATCTCAAAACACCGTATACTGTTGTTGCCTCCCTCACGAATTTGTCAACTAACTATTCCAAAGAACTCGATGGTCCGCAACTCGAGCGCAAAATACGGCTCCTCACCCTCGCCTCAGTTGGTTTCCAAAATATAGGCCAAGATCTACCCTACAACAAACTCGCCGAAGCTATTCAGGTTCCGTCCAACGAGGTCGAACGATGGGTCATCGACGGTAATTCTCTGCTCTTCCTCGCCAGATAAGCTCAATGGGAGTTTACAGTAATCCGCACTGGTCTACTCTCGGGCAAGCTTTCCCAGACCTCGCAAACGCTACACATCACACGTGCCAAGTCTCGGTCATTCGAGCGCGACCAATGGGAGGCTCTGGAGAAACGGCTCCTCGCTTGGAAAACGGGGATTGCAGGAGTGTTGGATGTTGTGGCTCAGGCCCGCAAACAAGCCCCTGTTATAACACAAACACCCATTCCTACCGCCTGATTTGTGTTGTACAAAAGCGAATTACTAGAATCCTTGATGAAAAATGCGACAATGTCAGTCTAATGCTTCGTGCGGATCTAAATCTCTAGCGTCACCACTCGCCATCGAAGCCCACAAAGCCTAGCATCTATTAGCCCACGAGTTGCACTAGGTTGGTTTGCAACCGCACCTGTGAGCAAGAAAACATGGAAATAACGCTTCTTCTCGAGCGCTGAGCACCAGTTCCACGCGCTGGTGAGACGGCCGTCAATGCAGCTTCCCGCGTCGAAGAAGTTGTCCGCTGGAAGGATCCTCAGTTGGTGAATAACGAGGAAAGCAAGTGGCACCCACCCCCAGAGCCATCGAAGCCGTGTCTGAAGAAGTCCCCTAAGATTTCGCGTCGAAGGTTATCAGGCCCGCCAAATTCGTCATCGATATAGGAACGAATGGCAGGCTTGGTGGCGAGATCGTCAATTTGACCCAGCGTGTTGCATATAGGCAGGAGGATGCGGTAAATCTGGGTATATTTGTCTATGAACAAAAGAGCATTAGGGACGTTGTGGTCGCCCATATGCTTCATAAAAAGTCAGACGCAGCCTCAAGGTTGAGTAAAGGCACCCACGATAACACTCGAGCCAATCCACTGACCGACACTTTGCTGTGCCTTGTTGAGGATTTGGTGCATCAACCGAGAAGTCTTGGGCGACGCCTGGACTCGATTGAGGCCCTGGCCAGTGTCCCTTAGTCGATAGGGCACGTTCTCCGATAGTAGATCGTTCTCAGCTAAACTCCATCTAATTGACTAGTGAGAAGACTAATAGTTGCGCGTGTCGTGACTTACAAATGGAAGAAATCATGCAAAATCTCCCGCCATAGCGTCAGGCTCTGGATAACATAGGCATATTGCTTGCTGTGGTCATGCGACAACCGAGCACCATTCTTCCCACTCCGAATTGCCAGACTGACTTTGGAGTCTTTTGCTTCCGTTGGGTGGAAATATTGCTTTAGATATGCGATCATTCGTTCGCAAGGGTCACGGTTAGTGCGTAAGAAAGCGTGGTTGTCGCCAATGCTGTACAAACACTGTCGAATGTCATCGCGGCTCAGGCCTTGACGAACATATCGTGTGGCGAGCGTCTCAATTGCCTTCTCCTTGGACTTGATATCCTTTTGGACGTCTCGCCTACTTCGCCCCTCTGCATAAATTTCCTTGGTGGCCACGGTGATAAGGTCGTCGCGTAAGAGGTCCAGCGCGTTGCACTCTTCCAAGAGAGAGTGGACTGTTTTTATTGGCCGGACGCAAGAGAACCCGAGCATGTCCTTGACCTCTGGACTTTGGCTGTCCATCAAGAGGTATATCAGCTTTCCATATGTCGAACGCATCGTGTGAGGGTTCATGATTTTGTATCGCCTTCCGAGCTCGAATAGATCTTGATAAAACTCGTCGTTGGCTTTGAAGTCACGGTCCGTGAAAAGCTCTTGACCGCGCTTGTAGTCTGCAGACAAGAGAAGGCCAGACATGATAGCGCAAAGTTCTCGGATTTGATGGACTATCCTCTTCGCCTTGCTGTACCCAAATCTGACATCGACCATGAGACGAGTTTCCTCGTGCCAGACTGACGAACGAACCCAATGGTATCGATCTTGTCCGTATATTCCGACACTGACAACGCGGCCTCCAACAGTCGAAGAAATTTTCGTTCAGAAAGGGTCAACCGAATTGGTATGAAGGCCGCTCGTTGAACGAACCACTCTCCCACAGATGTCCCGACAGCAGGTTGGGCAGAGAGTAAAACCTCGGTGGAAGTAATAGGGACCACACGCTCCCACTCATTATCTCCGTCGTCCTCCTCCTCCATCTACAATCATAAGTAATGTAGGGCAGAGAATGAGACTACAAGACGAACTGCTTCAGGCTCTTGAGTATCTGCCACTGAGCCGTTGACTTTCTTTTTTTCTTGGACAGACAACGGTTTCATGACATGTTTTTGTCTCGAGCCCTTTCGATGTTGAGATGCATAGCAAACTTCACAAAAAACGTCGGCACAGGTCTCGCAGGATACTTCGGCAGGTTGGTCTAATCAAGTACCTTCAGTACTGGAGAATCGTAGAAAACACTGCATACCTTCACACTCTATGCACATTCCGGCCTTAACGGGTGTAGGTGATGGCTCTGTCTCGTCTCCATTGACGCCCGGATGCTCTAAATGCGCATGGTTCTCGTTTAAAATGTTTTCGAGGGAAAATACAGGCCCTCCGTCCATGAGGGAGTTGGAAGGAGACGCGTCAAGCACGTGGCATCATCTGTTCTTTGTCAACTCCGTCTAACTTTCGTCATTGCGATCGCGCACCAGCTAAGTATTCGCTCTTCTTTCTTCCATGTTTGAATACTCGAGTAAGAGAGGTTCGTAAGCAACAAAAATATAGCTCAAGTTTGGGTCAAACCTATCAATCAGGCCTTGTCAATGGAGGACTTGTCGGGTTGTGCTAGGCTGCCATAAACTTGAGTATTCACTGCTAGTTGAATCAAGTCCATAGCAGTGCGATCGAAAACGCCTATTCTCACGTTGTGTGTACCAAAGTCTTCGATGCGTCGGGGTTGGCGCGTCGCAATCAAATCCTGGACACGAAAAGAGGGCAAAACGCAACTCGGGAGTATTGTCAAGAATCGGAACACAAGGAAGCCTGAGGCTCAACCAGGCTTCTCGTCTCTCCTTTGTGCGTAGCCAGGACGCGTCTCGATGTCTACGACACTTTCAAAGTTCCTTCGCTTCCGTATTGACGGTGGTGGCACATAATGCAACAACGATGTCGTTCGCGTTCACAAAATACTGTACTGACCCTTGCCTTGCTCCGGGAGCGAACCCCTGGATGCGACACGTTGAAGGCTATCGTTGAAAACTTATCATTTTTTCAGCCAGCCAGCATTCAACCAAGAGTTCCAGTTGACTGATGAGGTGCCACATGCAGTCATTCCTTACCACTTCCTGGCTCGTCAACTTGCTCGTTTGAACCTTCCTATCCACGTCGCCTAATATGCGCTGATGTCAAACCAGCGACAGCTACCAACCTCAGAGCAAGCATAGAATGCGATCCTCATATGGCTGCCAGAAACCTTGACGGCGTTTTCCACAACTTTGTGATGTCCTATGTACTCCTTCGGTGTACCCAAATTTAACCTCGGCTTACACTAGCTCTCATAGACCGACTGTATACTTAATTGACCTGAGCTCATGTATGTATGTAGCATACTCATGTTGTATACTGGTGATCACGTGTCTACGATTTTGTCAAGGGCCAATCTTGTGGCTTCGTGGCTCTAACCTTGCTGTTGCCAGCATGGAGGCTTACTTTATGCTCCACTTGAACCAAAGCACAATCATTGTCAGTAGCACAACGTGGAAACAGCATTTCCATTGTGTCGCAAGAAAGCTGTGTACCTGCAGCTGGTGAGATGGATACATAGCTCTTCTTAACTGCTTTCTCACATCGCACATTCCTTTCCTTAGCACATCCACTCCCTGTAAAAGCATTCCGAACCATGGACATTCACGAATCACTCTCTGTCACGGTCGATGACGATTGGGCATGGATTCCGATTCACATTTTCTCGTCAACTTCAGCAGCACCAGTGCGTCGCAAATGATCTGCTTTATCCATCCTAATCCTCTTAGGACTCCAGCATTCCAAACTGGGACATAGGCGGACCGTCTGACTTGATCCAAGTTTCTCACTTAACCTGGGAATCTCCCTCCGTTGCACCAGGCTTCTCTTCAAGTCTAAACGCACCTCTCACATCCATTTATAACTCCTGGGAATTACCTCATGATCTCTGCCTTCCCGTGAGCACCAATTATTGTCTGGAAGCTTGCCTTGACATCTCCAACAGACTGATACCTTGGCACCGAGTCTGCTGAGCCCGTTTGGGCCAAGCAACTCGAACCCATCATTGACATTCAGCGCGGAAGTCACCGCTGGGTCCCTACTCATCGAAGCCTCGGCGAGGTCTTCAGGTGAATCGTCCACAAAGCAGTTGGGAGGATACTCCAGGTTAGCTGCTTTCTTGACTGACGATTCTTTACGTCTCATCACCAACAAGTGTTGTACCCACATCTCGAAAGCAAAACTACTTTCTTGAATCAGAAATTTCTCGGCGAATGGACGTACTTCGAGATGCAATCAAGGACAATACGGCGCAATTATCTGAGTCACGGTTCCTGGAGGACATTCTTACCATCCCTCATGAGCAAACGATACTTGAAAACCGACTCGAGAGCCTACAAAGAACTCTAGATGCTCCTAGTTTGGGTGGCATATATGTGTCCGACATGGGTCAATACTCTGGTCTGCAGTAACTCATACCCTTCTTCTCACTCTTATTTTCTATGCAGTGAAGCAGGCACGAAGCATAACATACACCGAGCATACTCCCCGAAAAGACAATTTTTTTGCTCTTCTCGCGCGGTCGCCAGTTATTCGATACTTGGAGGACGCCTGCAAGCTGTCTCCCACCCAGTCATTTGTGAATGGGATCTTACGAACAATCTTGGAAGACTTTGAAAGTTTGTCGTTAGACTATCCTCTTTTTTTGCACATAACAATGCATCTTTTATAGAAGGAAATCCACGTGCCGTCGAGCACCGATTGCAGCAAGAGCTGCCAAATCACCAACACAAGATCAGTCAACTCCTCCTCAAACACAATGGTGCGGAAAGTAGCATCATCAGCCTAGTTCTCATGCTTAAATATCTCAGTTCCAATTGAATGCCGAGATGACGAGGATGCTCATGTGATCTGTGCTCGTGGTGTTCGGGCTATGTTTGAAATGTTCAAGAAATGGAGCACGCTAGGAAGTAAAATCCGTTTTGCGCCTACTAAACGCGTTTCTGGTACGGCTCTTCAATTATCATATGCATCCAGCTTAGCCATATTATAATACTTTAGACGAAGTGCATAACCTAGTGTCTTCTTTTGAAAAGATATCTAGTTTAGTGGGCACGGACCGCGTCTTCCAGGCTCAGTCACCTCCGCGGCTCAAATTGGTTCGGCTCATCTCGAGGCTCTCGACCAGTTTCGCCCTCACACAACTGAGCGACATTCTCCAAGCTGCCAATATTATCGATGATAAATACGCTGCCTTCTGTGAGGCACTTCTCCAATCTGGTGACATAAACGAAATCATACTGGAATTGCGCGAGTGCGTGAAAGCGGAGATGACGCGTCTTGTCAAGGTCAACACGGAGTTCAAGGCACTGCGGGCTGAGTACGAAGACGTGCAGGATGCTCTCAGTCAGGAGATGGATTCTCTTGCTAATGCTGGTCCGTCCCGGCTTTCAGCGATTATTCATGTGCTGACCACAGCTCGTTCAGCTCGGGTCTCAGGTTTCGATGAAGGTGTGAGCACGAGGGAAGAGGCCCAGATCATTCACAATAAGTTGTCCGAAGTCGATGAACGGTTAGAGGCACTCCAAGTCGGACTCGGCGATTATGCTGGTGCTTTAAGCCAACTCCTCGATGCATTGGACGATCCGTCATCCGACCAGCCACGGAACGTGCCCCCTGATCCTCCAGAAGTGAGAGGCCAACTTAGCTCGACATTGTCAGACCGAATAACCATTTTTAGGCTACCAGTTTTGCGTTGGAAGAAAATGCTTCATCCCTCGTGTCGTGCCTTGGTGATGTGTCTTCAGCAGTTTACGCTAGTCGTGCCCCGAAAAAACTGGATTCACTGGGTGGGATTCTTACCAACGAGGCCGTCAGGCTGCGCACGCGATGTGTTCAGGTCGTGCCGGACCTATCGCACACCCTTTCGAGTGTGCAGATGCCTGCAGCGAATCAACCCAACTCGTGGTGGGGACGATTCCAGAGGAAGAGAGAAGTCAAGAACCTCGAAAATGTGGTTACCTCGCTCTTCAAGGGATACTACAAGCTCGCGAATCGATTCAGGTCCTACAAATACTCAATTTGTTTGTTCCTCTGGTTTGCTAGTTCGGATGCTGCGGAGAAACGAGCGGGTGTGCTTTATCCTCCTATCCACGATCTTTTATTGACGTCTTCTGAAGGTAATCGAATGGCGGCGCTGTCGGAAACTGCCTGGAGCCATTCACACAACCTCTCGCCGTATTTGCGACCTCTAGACTTTGCGTTCAGCGATATAATCCAAGGACTGGAAGATTTGCGAGCGACAATAGCCGCTTTCCATTCACAGTAGTCCACTGTCCATTCCCCATCGTCTCTTCGGACAATATATATATGCATAGAAGCTGCTAGTTGCTTCTACTCCTCTTTCTGCTCTCCAGCAGCAGCCAGCGGCTTCGCGACATCTGGCATAACCAATTGCAAACCCGGGACAAGAATACTTTGGCGTGCTTGTTGAGACACGACGAGGCCAAACCCGCCCTGTTCCGAGTCAAGCTGCGAAATCTTCAGCTTTCCGCCAACTGGTGTTGGCTCTGACTCGAAGAGCGTCCCAAACACTGGCGGGAGCGCTCCACGGTTGTCTGGGCCGAACGTTCCGTCGGGGGAGTTGTTGAGATATTCCTATGGCGCGGATTGACAACAGGTGAGGAAGAATAGGGGACGACTGACCTGGAAGGGGCAATTCGCTTGCGTTACGACGAAATGGTAGCTGTAGGCACCGCTGGCGTGAGGGACGACTTGGATGTCGTATGCTGCGGCTTGTGCAGAAATTTTGAGCAGTTCGGTCAGACCGCCAGCCCACATCACGTCGGGCTGGAGGATGCTGATTGTTCGTGGGGCAATCAGCTCTCGGAACCCGTATTTCGTATATTCGTGCTGTAGGAACAACTAAGACAAATTCCCCCAGATAATGAAATAGCCCTTGCCTCGCCAGTCGTGAATTTGATGTGGGGCAAAGCCTGTTTGATGATGGCGTAACCAGAAATATCGTCTGGATGAAGTACTTCTTCCCACCAGTTGATGTTGAGCGGGAGACACGCGGTCGCAAGTTCGATGGCGTATTGCACCGTCAAACTCATCCAGCAGTCAACCATAATCGGGAAGTCCGGCCCGACACTCTCGCGGTGCTTCGTCAGGAAAGCAACGTTCTTTCGCAAACCCTCCGCGCCTTCGTCTGGTCCATAAGGTAGGGGGACCTTGGCTCCCCAGAAGCCTGCCTGCTTGGTCGCAACAGGATTCGGGCCGGTGCAGTAGAAATCGAGCTCCTCCTTGATGTTGCCGCCAATCATCTGATAGACTGGCTCTCCACGAATCTTGCCGATCAAGTCCCATAACGCGAGATCCACGACGGAGATAGTGGCAACGGGGAGGCCCTTGCGGCCGTAGAACATAGTCGAGCGGAACATCTGGTCAGAGAGGCGGTTGAGCGCACGTGGGTCCGCTCCGATGAGAAATCGCTCGAGGTGGTGGTGAACAATCCAGCAAGCTGGGGGGCCGCCAAAGCCGGTCGCGAAGCCGGTTGTCCCGTCAGTCGCTTCGATCTCCACGCAAAACGAGCCCAAGACATTTATCCCCCACGAAGTGCGTGACGCCCGGTATTCCTCATACTTTGACATCGGGACACTGCGCGCATTGCAGGAGGGGAAAAGGAGCGCGGCAACATAACGACTGACCTGATAGGATTGTCAATCAACCAATGCCCGCGTTTTACATTGTGGTAGTCGCCGCCCGAGCCAACTCCCTGCGTAACATACGTCCGAACCGCCTTGATCGTTGGGAATGTTTTCATGGTTGGGTCGTTTTCTCTCGGAGAAGGATGCGGTTTATATGCTGCGGGCCATCCGGACCGCGTGATGCGTCACATTCCCAAGGTATCATGTGCAACTGACACTGTTAACATTGGGTTCGGCGCCGTCGCCGGGAGCGACGGGAAGGATATTCCCCTCTTGAAGACTCCTTGCAGCGGTCTCTCAGTCCGTCTAGTCTATCCTCTACATCTCTCAAGGCCAACTTGAAGCCTAATCGTCGCAGAGGTTGTCCGACGCTGCAGATTCTGGCCAGTCACCTGAGGTCAGGGTAAGCAAAGGCATCACAAGGAAGTTGAAATACCCTGTGACTTCTTTTTCTCTAACCCCGGGCCTCAAACTTCTGTTGCAAGATGTGAGGTTTCCCGAGTGTTGCTCCTAAACGACTGTCAAAGGCTTAATAGATATTGACAAGCCGATGAGGAAGAAAGACGGTATTGCGACGCGGTATCCGATAGCGCCTCTGTCAACTTGAAGACAGGAAACAGTGAAGCGTCCAGAACTTCGGAAGGAGGTGGCAAGACGAGAACACCTTCAAACTATTCTGAGATGTGCTGCCAGTTTTTGCGCGAGTAGATAACGCAATCCGGCATCTGGGGCAATAGCCAGAGGCGTTGCTGTAAGATGTAGGACTAGTCGCAGAGTGAAGTGAGCCGAACTGTGACGTGACCCACGTGACCAAACGTGGCTTAGCCGCCAATCGACTGCTTCGTACATTCACTCTTAAGGCTTTGAGGGCTCCTGGTCACTGAGTTTAATCACTGAAATAGGTCCCATGCGTTTGAATTCCATGGCCAATCCCCCACAACTTGAAGATGAAATGAACTCCCTGGTTGTCCAATCATTGGATAAGATGGGCTCCCTGCTCTTCGACGTCGCGCGCAAACCAAGGACCCATAATGCACCAGCGCATACCGCGCGCCTCGTACAGAGAATGGAGCCTCTAAGCGCCTTGGCGGTTATTGTGCGTTCAGACAACTTTTTCAAGCCGGTGTCGCATCTTAGTGACCTCAGCGCGGTTTAGGCCATTTTCCTTGCCGGCGTCCAGGCGCAGTCCATAAGCTTCTCCCTGGCCCAGACGTCGACGAAGCTTGAGATCACGACCAACGTCTTTGCGTTTGCTGGTTTGTTCCTCGATGTTCTCGGTGGGAGCTGCGCGCTTGTTGGCTTCATCCAATTGCAACACACCCAGACTCTGCTGAAAGAACGCCAACTAGCTCTCAATGGCCTGCGCGACACCTTAAGACTCGTCTCCCCGGAAGAACAACGCGACAACCCGCGCCAACTCGCCTTGCTTCACCACTTTCATCTCCTCGACAAGATCATACTTGCTCCCATCCACTACCCAAAACTCTGGATGACTATGGGCGGGCCCCTCCTCGACTCGGCGCGCATAATAGAGAGAATTCTGAAGACTTTCGACGACTCGGTCCAGATATCCGCCGCCTATTCGCTCGCAGACTATCGTGTTGCGACTGATGCTCTGATGGCCTCGGCGGGGAGGACCAGCCTGGGGCTCGCTGCAAGCGCCGCAGTCCCGGCCATTGTTATCGCTGGCTTGTTCTGCTTCACATGTGGCGCGCTGTGTCTCGCGATTGCCAGCCAGCCAGCGGCGGTTTGGGGGACATGCGTCGCTGTCCTAGCGATCACTTTTGTTCTTCTTGGGGTCGTCTTTGTGGCGAAGCACAGCGGAATATTGCTCCGCGGTTCACGAAAAGAGTCGTATTGATTTAGCTACCCTTCTCAGACACGAAGAGGTTCTTTGAGCACCGACACGGAAGAGGATGTCTGTACGTCCAGAGCGGCCAGGACGACTTCGATCAACAGCCTCTCCGGGTCCACCTGGCCCTCGGCCTCGTTGCACAGATTCGCACAACCTTGCAATCTCTCTTAGAAATCAAGAAGGCTTACGCCGATCGAACAAATCTACGCTGATTGGCGCCTTCACCCTACAAATACTGTCATCTGAATGGGGTTCATGCTTACCCAGAGCACTCTAGACACTCTACTAACCAACCGGCGTTCACTTTCAAAGCTCGGTGTATGTTGGTAGCAGCGTAAATGTTCCAGGCGCCGAGTCTATCTACCGCCGTGACATGTTATGAACATCTTCGAAACAACTATGTGCTCAGGCGCCGCAGCAGGGCAATCGGTCGGCGACTTGTTGGTATATTTTCTATTTTTCCATCTATGCTCGAACATTCATTGAGGCTTGATCAAGTTGACTCTAAATTTAGTGTGCATGCACTTGAATAAGACTTGGATGGTGTCTGACGTTCCACAAAACATGCATGAAGCAATCACCCGGGATTGAAAAGCGGTTTAGATTTCACAGTCACAGTGGACACGAAAATACACTCCGAATACTTTTACAAGTTATTGACACTTCATTTCGAAGATTTTCGTTGATCTAAATTGCCGAACGATATCAGATAAAGGTTGCCAAGTAACTGTGGGCGTCAAGTGGGCGTTGAATAGACGATATCAGTTGTTGTCAGTCGCGAAGTTCCGGAGTTGAAGAACATCATTGCAATTGGCTGCACACCGATCTAGACCTGATTATGAGAGGAAGGGCTCAGGATCGGACAGAACGTGGAAGATTTATTTTTATTGCACGCGCGAGTACTGTGCCCAATGAGAGCATCCCAATAGGAACACAGCTGAACTTGCTATTGGTGGCGTATCATGGTTTGTCGTCCCTGAAACCATAGGGAGAGGCGAGTTTATATGTCGTTTCTAGGTTTGCAACAACTAGAAGCGCAACATGAGGAAGGCTGGCCGTGATTGAAGCTGAATCTAGGCTTGAAGCAAGGAATTTGTGTCGAAAGTTTAAGCACCGGCCGCGTTGTTCTTTTATAGGCCGAAAGTCTCCCCCGATTTGTCCATTCGCACTCGAGACAAGACCGAGGCCATGTCGACCGCATCAGGATGTTGAGAGAAAGTTTGTCCTATCGTTCGATAATGCAAGTCAAAGGGTAGTGGCAATAAATCGTTCAAGTAGCTTCAGATGCCGTCTTCTGTACGTCCCCAGGTGCGCGACGACTTCGCTCGCAAGATGTAAAGTTGTTTGTCACGAATCGTGACTAATCTGGAGCGTGGGGCCAGGCTATGATAAAATTCTTTTTGCACCCGCTTCCTTCGCTCGAGACCTTGCTGGCCAGCCATCCTTTTATATCCTAATCCATCTTCCAAATTTTCCCTCCGCCGTCTTGTTCTGCCTCCGACGGCCAGACTCCCTCCCAATGGCACGCACTCACCGAAGGGATTCGTCAACGGAGCGCCCCGATACGAGCTCGTCCTTAATAAAGAAGCTCAAGTCCTCCCATGTCTCTTCACCCACGAATGGCACGTCGGCAGCAGACCCCACACCCTTCTTCGCCTCAGGCCTCCTTGATCACTGTAACATCGCCCAGCTCCATTCTGGCTATGTGGCCAACGAGCCATTCAAATATTCCGTCGTCGAAAAGCTGTTCCAGGACGAGCTATTACAAAAGGTCAAGGACGAGTGTCTGAGTGAGCTCAGCTTCACCGAAAAAGAGACGGACATCTATAAAGTGTGTGGTTCCCCCCAAATCTCCACTTTGCGTCATTCAACCGATATCTAGGTCAACCAAACCGGCGACCTTGCTTCGCTTAACTATCTTACATCCTCCCAAATATCCCTTCTCCCCAATCTCCTCGCCCTCCGCGATGCGCTGTACTCACAAAAGTTTCGTGACTTTCTTCGTGCGGTCACTGGCTGTGGTCCACTGTCCGGCACAAAACAGGACATGTCCGTCAATTCATACACCCGTGGATGCCATCTTCTAAATCACGACGATGTTATCGGCACCCGACGGGTTTCCTATATTCTCTATATGCCCTTACCACACTTCCAGTACTGGCAAAAGGACTGGGGAGGTGCCCTCGAACTCTACCCGACTGTTGTGGGTCCGGATGGAGAACGAGAGCCTACTTGTACCCCGTTGAAGACGATTCCGCCGAGCTGGAACCAGTTTATCTTCTTTGAAGTGCAACCGGGGCTGAGTTTCCATTCAGTGGAAGAGGTTGTTGTCGGCGGTGAGGGTGAAGATGGGCGAGCGAGGCTGAGCATCAGTGGATGGTTTCATGCGGCACAAGAGGGCGAAGAAGGCTACGTCGCAGCTGAGTCGGAAAGCCAAGTCAAAAGCTCAAGAGAGCAACTCGTATGTTGTTGCTTCTCTTATACAAGCTGACTGAGCTCAATCCGATCACTATGTAGGCCATGACTTCCACCGAGTTCAAGCAGTATCCAGCCGAGCTGGATGGCCCACCAGAAGATACCCTCTCTGAAAAGCATACCACTTTCTTATCCGAATTTCTCAACCCCGTATACCTCCAGCCTCGCACGATGAAAGCTCTCGCCTCGCGATTCGTCGAAGAATCGTCGCTCGAGCTCCACTCATTCCTCTCAAACGAACTAGCCTCGGCACTCGAACCAAGATTACGCGAGTTGGATGCCGCTGATGGTCTTGGTCCCGATCGCGCGGGCAAAGTGCCCGCTCATTCGTGCGGGACAACTGGGGCATGGGACACCAAAGGCCCGCCACACAAATGGCGATACTGTATTCTCCGACCGCACGAATCAGCGCAAGCTGTAACGCCTCGAGCGGCAGCGGGTTGCGACGAAATCGTTCGCGGAATTCAAGACGAGCTGTTTAGCTCGGTCGCATTCCGTGCATGGCTCGCCGCAGTCTCAAGACTGGTACCGACGAGGTACTGTGTAGAGGCACGACGGTTCAGGCCTGGTTTGGACTATACTCTGGCAACCAGTGAAGAGAAAGAGGCGCGGTTGGACGTGGTATTGGGCTTGACGCCGGATGTCAAAAAATCAAACGAGGAGGAGCATTCAGCGAAGAAGCGCTCGCGGAAGAATGCTAGTGAGCCCAAGCCTAGGGGTTGGCAGGCCGCAGAGTGGGGTGGTTGGGAGGCAAGTTTCGGTTCAATTTTTTCGGTGCTATTTTAACGTCTTTGGCAGTGTTACATGGCCCCACACAATGAGGGAAGACGATCCCGCCGTATATCGGTCGGGAACCATCAAAAAACCGAAGGCCAATGGAAACGGGGTCGCCAATGGAAATGGTCACGTGCCAGACTCTGAAGACGCGGGCGAGGAAAACGGCGACACGTCGATGGATGGTGAAGCGGGGTCAGAGGGAGACGTGTCGATGGCAGACGACGAAGAAGACAGCACGTTGCTCACCGTCCAACCTGGGTTTAATCGCCTGTTGCTTGTGCTGCGAGACGAGCGAGTGATGCGATTTGTCAAGTACGTGTCGGCGTCAGCGGAAGGATCGAGATGGGACGTGTGTGGCGAGTACGAGGTCGGCATGGTTGAGCGGGAAGACGACAGCGACCCGGAGGACTCAGAAGATGACGCTGAAGGGGAGGAAGAGGCGTGAAAAACGATCGAACGGCTTTGATATCTATAATGCTCGCCATATTTTTACTAATTTCTACATACAGCAGCTGGTCGCTAATGCACAAACACTGGTAGATGGTAGACTATGGAGCGGAGCACTATTGTAAGCAGCCGTAATGTAACTTGAGTTGTGGTCAGCAAGTTTTTGGTTGGATGCAACTATGTCACTGGATCCTTGCTTTTGTAGTAGGGCAAATCAAGGGTAAATATAGCATGGTGGAAGAACCACTATGTCGTCAGACTGGTCAGAGTCATAGTCGCCAATTATAGAGCTTGCGCGTCGCGTCACAGTGTGACGCGTCACACCTCCGCTTATCAATGCTCTATGCCCTCGAAATCCCCTTCGAAGCAGAATGTGAAATTGCGCCAGTAATGTTGAAATATCACTCATCGTCTACACCAGTCCCAGCCGCGGCCAATCAAACGGGAGGCGGAACCGGTGTCTGTTGACATTGAGCATAGTACCAAGTCCAACGAAGCACCGGAAGACTATACACCTGAAGGCGTGTTGGAATACTGCTCCAGGACAGCACACAAGACACTAGAAGAGGTAAGAATATTGCCGTCGCTTTGGGAAATCCGATGTTGACTGCTGACACAGGCACTTGAAACTCTTGAGCTTGAACCGCGCAGGAGAGTTATATGGCGACGGGACCTGACCAAGTGCGCTGTCCTTGTTCTGCTTTTGGATTGGTTGAGTTGATATGCGTTAACAGGATGCGTTCCAGCGGCGATACCAGGACGATTATTGCTTTCTGCGGGGGTGCGTCTGATGCGTCGTTACACTCCAACGTTCACTTTATAGATGGCTGCAGGCACCGGGGTCGGGAAATCGTCCACTTTGAACGCCATTCTCGACGGTGAGTGTTGTTTAGTCTGCTTCCAATCTCTCTCAACTGCTGGGGCTCAGCCAACATCGTCCCGACTAGTGGTATCCAAGGTATATACCTATACGCCCAGTTCATTCTTCTCCCTCCCACTAACTTTACGCCATAGCCTGCACTTCTGTTGTCACCGAGATCGCATACCATACCAAACCCACTATCGACGCCGATGTATCCTTTCTGTCGAGAGACGAGTGGAAGGTGAGAATTTGACGAATTCTCCAGTACTTTTTCACTGATAATACTAATTCTCAAGGCGGAGCTAGAGATTCTCTTGAGCGATCTTGTTGAAGACAATGGAAGTCTCAAACCGACAACCGACCTCAAGAGCGATGCTGGTGTTGCGTGGCTCAAGGTCCATGCGGTGTACCCGACTATTGACACTAGTCAACTCATCCTGATGACACCAGACCAGATTATCTCCAGCAACATCGAAATAGAAGGAATTCTGTATGTGGCTGACAGTATCTCACCTTTTTTGCATCGTTTGAACACTTCAAATAGTGGAAGTAGTAGGGAAATTTCTACCCCCAACTACAAGAAGTTTCGGCATGAAATCAACAAGTACATCGACGCGAATGATCACCGGCGAGGAAAAGACACCCCGAAAAAGAAAAGGAAGGACAAAAGGAAGAAAGATCGAGTGACGGAAATGGAGGGAGCGACAGCCCGTGAAGATCCCGAGAAGGGAGACCAAGAACCCAAGCCCAATGATGTTGTGGAAGAGCAATCCGACCCCGTCGCCCTTTGGCCTCTGATCCGTGGGGTCAAGGTTAGAACATCCTCACCTGTCCTCGCGACTGGTGCAGTACTGGTCGACTTACCAGGTACTTGATCTTGCCTTCTGTCATTTGACAATCCGTTATATCGTTCTAGGGACCGAGGATGCAAACGCTGCGCGGAGTGAGTCCAAGTACTCTGACCGAGAAAACCTCTGATTGCTGCCTCTAGGTAGTATTGCGCGTCAATATTTGAAGAAAGCCGATTGTGTGTGGATATTGTCCCCGATCCATCGGTAGGCGTGCCCCGACCAGAGAGGACCGTTATTCATTATGACCTCAGCGCCGTGGACTCCAAGGTTGCCAGGGATTTATTGGGCGAGGCCTTCCGCACTCAACTCAAGATGGACGGCGGGTATAATGCCGACACCATCACCTTTGTCGCCACAAAGTGTTTGTTCTTGGAGGAACCCTGCGTTAAATTTGTTGATCAAATTCTAGGCGACGACATTGCATCTTCGGAAGTGATCAAAGCCCTGCAACTGCGTAACGAACCTGAGCTCAGGGGAATTGAAGACCGTCTCAAAGACATCAAAATGCAGTTAACACAGGCCGAAAGGGCCCAGAAAATAGCCGATAATCGCCTTGCAGGTTTGTAAAATCTGACTTTGTCGGATGAGAATCCCACGTATTCTAGATTTGTCTCAACAACTCGAAAAATCACGTGCAGCCTCTCATGAATATCAAGCTCGTTTGAGGGCACTGCAGTCAGGACAAGTGTTCGAAACTACAAAACTACCATCCCTTGTCAAGAAGCGGAAAAATACAGGAGGAGAGAAACCTGGTCCACCCAAACGTCGTCGTAACATGTCTGACGACGATGAATCGTCTGGATCCGATTCGTATACATCTGACGATGACCTTCCGTCAAGCAATGCGGAAGGGGAGGACACGGCAGATGAGGATGAGACTGATGAATTAATGGAGGACATCTCAGAAGAGTCATTAGAAGCGGCTATACAAGAAGCAGAACACAATATTTCTCTGGTGACAACAAACCTGAATGAAGTATCGCGGAATCGCATGGAAACCGTTCGCCTAATCTCGTCTCTCTCCGAACAAGATCGTGACGCTCAACGAGTGAGTTTCTCTCCTGTTACATCGCTTGAACTCTCGTCAATTTGCGGTTAGACAAAGGATGCCTACTGCGCGAAGAAGCGCTCAGAACACTCGACAAACACCCTCAAGGACGACTTCCGTACTGGGTGCAGAGAATACGAGGGTATCAGTTTTCAGCTTATTTATTGGCATTTTTTACAGATTATTTAGATGCTGCCGCCGAAGAACTGGACCCAGACAACTTCGATCCCAGCGTCTCGGAAAGTGCTTACGCTACCGTAGATCTTCCTGTCTTTTGTGTCTCTGCAAGAGACTATACCCGTCTCACAGGTACATATATTTCCCCGGTATCTGGTCATCAATTGATCCCGATACAAAAGGACAAGTGCGAGGAGACGGCAAAGCAGTATGCTTCACCGACGTTGAAGACACGGGAATCCCTTCGCTCCAAAAATGGGTGACTGCGTTAACGCGCTCTCCACGAGAAACAGCTGCCCAGAGTTGCTCGTCCCAACTGAGAGCCCTCGCTGAGGACATGCGTTCATTTCTTCATGACTCAAGTCGAGTCACTTCTACTGATCGTAATACCTTCCGGGCAAAATGGAAATCCCAAGTGTTTGACGAAGATGAAGTGGAGTTCAGTGAAGATGACAACTCTAGCGACAACGAAATCCCCGGCATCGACCACCCCATTGTAACGGTGCTTGATGAACGCCAACTTCGCTCTGGAATCACTCCTCGTCTCGTTAAGCAATTCTCCAGGATCGTCGAAGAAAGTGTTACTGCCCTCAAGCATCATTTCAGGAATGGGTTAGAAGAGAGATGTCGCGTGGGGGCCGCAAATGTGAGAGTTTCCCACTGTCAATGCCACTTATCATTGAATCTGGGTAGGCTGCGGATACTTCAGGTGCGACGTTGAACAACTTCAGGCAATCCATGCACCATCGCTCGTAAGTCTGTTCCCTTTATCCAGATTTGAGCCTCCTAAATCCTGGGCCAGCTACTCTGCAACCATTCGGCGCGATGGCGAATTCCACCGCGACTTGAATGTTGAGCTTGTGAACCCACTGACTCGCTACATCGCACAAGCCTGGCAAGGGGTATTCGAAGCCGACGTGTTTGCGCCCTTCTTTAAAGACATTTCGGACTGTATTTCGGCCCTCATCCTGGACATCGAGGAGTCTGCTCCGTCAGGACTGAAGCAGCACGTGCGGACACAGGGCGAGATCTGCCGACAGTCCGCGCGAGTCAGCCTAAACCAGACTCTCGCAAGCGTGAAAGCAACTCTGACCGATGAGCAAAAGACCGTATCTCGCTCTATTGCCCCGTTTGTGAAAGGCCGAATGCTTGCTGCATATGCGGCTGCGAAGCAGGAAAAAGGCAAAGGCTCGGTTATGCGGGCGACGAAAGTGTTGCAGGACTTCATCCATCAGTCTAAAGATATCGTGTTCAACAACAGCGCTGACTCTATTCTGGAGCAACTGGATGATTGCGCGTCGTCTGTGGGGGCGACACTGAGAAGCGCCATGACTTCACTCGCCCGCAAGGTCGAGCTCAACATCTCGGTTATATGGGAAACGCAGGCGAACTACGACTCCAAGCAAGCCGTGATCCGCTCCAACATCGTTATACAACTGGACGAAATTCTGGGTCAACTCCGATTGACGGACGAGGCTCGACAAGGGGAGAAGGTTCAGAAAGAGGCGCAGATGGAGATGGACTGATGGACCTGAGAATTATTGCATAACAGCTAACCTAAGTTATAAAATCATGTAGCAATTACCTGTGCACTATTACGGACACCGGGATGTGGAGAGCAACGAGGAGGTGGATGCAGAGGTGAAACGGGCGGCACAAGGAGCGTCCTCTTAGCTCCCGAAGGCGCTAAGGTTGCGGGCGCTTTCCGCGGGTCCCACCGTCTTCATCAACATATGTGCTCTTCATCTTCAATTTCATTTTCATTTTCATCTTCATCTTCATCACCCTCTCCCCATCTAGTTAAAGTCACCGATCAAGGATTTCCCTGCACTTGTCCCAACAAACAGAGTGGCGCCTTTGTCTCGGAGAAGTCGGCTCAACGACAGCAGGGAGTGTGTGCGAAGTTGGACATCAAAGCCATATGGCTCGTTAAAGGTAACTCGAAGAGTCCGCACCAACGAGCATTTGGGCATCACATTCCTACAGCACACGCCTTCGACGGAGACTTGCACGATGCGAAGCAAGATCTCCATATCACAGTCGCTGAATGCTATGTTCTCGAGCAAGGGGAGAAACTGGGGATCGGTGACCAAACTTTTGAAGAGGGCATCGACATAATTGCGCAGGGGACTGCCGATTTGGAGCGTGGTGAGAGGGAGTGGCTTTATGATTGAGATGGGAAAATCGACGGAGTCCACTAATCGCTTGGGTCCGCATGGGCGAATCACGAGGGTCCGGAGAGGGGGCGATGAACGATGGAGGAATGGTTGCAGATAGCTCTCGACATCGCACAAGCCAGAGTACATGCGGATTTCCAGACTCTCGAGAACAGGGAGGGCCATGAGGTCAAGCAGCGTGAACAGCGGAGCTTGTCCCGTGTGATCAAACTCGTCTTCGATTGACAAAAACCGCAATTTGTCGTGAATGACGTCGAAGGTGGATGTGGGGGAGACCTCGAAGGCATAAGTATGCCCGACAAACGTCAGGGAGATCAGGTTGGGCATAAGTTGAAGTGCCTCGGCTGCTTCCTCTATCGCCACATAAACCAGCGCCAGCTCCGTTATTTGCTCATATCGGAGCCGCACAAACGAGAGAGGGACCCTCTTGAGCAGTACGGACGTAAGCTGTGGGGTGTCAAGGAAATACTCGACAGCCACGTCGGCGGGGAGGACTTCCTCGACTGGCTCGAGAATGAGGGCCAAACTTTTCAGCTGCAAAAAAGCCGGCCTCCCCTCCTGCAGGGCCTCGAAGCCCCGTATGCCCATGTCCAGCCTCAGATCGACCAGGCCCGATGCCTGAGGGTGCAGGAGCGGTATAAACCACATCAGAGGATCGACCGCATCCGGCATGTCCAGCTCAAGACTGACGGGGCATTCTTTGGCGAGGGCCATCCAGTGTAAAGCGCCATCGATTGCGTCGGATATCTGGGCAGTCGTTTTGTAGACCTCCGTCGCGATAGCCAACCGCGTCCACAACGTCGGCATCGACAGCGCCAAAAGTCGCCATGCTCGACAAACTCGGGTGAGGACAAGTGGCGCAAGCTTGGTGCTCACAACATTTTCAATGGATTTCCTTGACCTGTCAGTGTGGTTAGGCAGGCAGCGGAGGAAAATCTCGGCAGTGACTCGTGAGCTCGGGAGTGAGATTCAGGATGGGATAACCAAGTGTTTGGAGGGATTCTTTCAGGTTTGCTAGATCTTCGTTGTCCTGGTACAGTTTCTGCTGTTTGCTGGCGATGTGCACTCGCAATGCAGCTGCCGACATTATGGTGGAAGGTGAAACACCTAGGACAAGACGCGGCCACGTGCTGAAGTAGTCTCGAGACCATCCGTTTTTGGTAATCGAGCACATCAAATTGAAAATTTGATCGACCGCGCTCGCTCCCAAACGTCTGGGGCAATTGACATCAGACCATCCCCCATCGAGTCACACCCTGCCAAAATTTTGCCCAAGTGATGGGAAATGCCACTGATGTGTGACTCGATGGGGGGTGGTCTGATGCGAAATGCCCCAGGCGTTCTCAAGAGCCTACAGACCATCAAATTATTGACATTTTGCTGATGACTTCCTAATTCGGACACCACACTAAAATCTACGACTAGGATTCTCTTGAGAACGCCTGGCTTGTGCGAGGCTATGCTGAAGCAGGTTTGCATTGAAGGTATTCACGTTCTTGTCGCTATACACCGCGCTATTCCCAACATATTCCTCACGACCCTCCACTCAGCAAACTTAGGGCTCCAACCATTTCCGTGTATAAACGTTTGTACACGGTTATAACCGTTTTTATTTTCATTTAGTTTACCATGGTATGTAAATGGTAAATAAATGAAAACAAATGGTTTAAATGGTTATTCCCTGATAACAATAGCAAACAAGCACATAACTATGTTACTACCAGGTATATATCTGGCTACCAAATACATACTAGTGTAGGACATGCCTTCCACATAAATATAAATAGTTGTTGCATTTGTAGGCTTCTTCTTGAAGTAATTCAACACATGATCTAGCATCAAATAAGCTAAAAGTGATGAATCTTGCCCTATATGCCCATATAAAACAGTATTACAAGTGAGAAAATGTCATCCTTCAGTTGAATAAACCTTATAAACACTATGAAATCATTGATCATTTTATATGATTATATTACCATTTTTAACCGTTTTTAAATGGTAATAAACGTTTACTAAACGTTTTCTTACCATTTCCGTTTAGTTTACCTGGAGGTGTAAATGAAAACTAAATAGTTGGAGCCCTAAGCAAACTCGTCGCATTGCAACACATAAGGCTTTGAAGAAGAATAGGCCGATACACAGTGATGGCCCTAGGGGCCAGGCTATTTGGGTACCTCAGACCCTGCAGGGCCCTTACTGGCCCTATCACCCTAGAAATAGGGCCTCTACTAGGGCCCTATCTCCAAAAAAGGAAATGCTTTGATGGCTAAAAAAGTAATTGAATACTATACTATGGCCATTGTTGAGAGCTATTTCAGGAGCACTAGCAGTGGTAATCATAGACTCCTGGCTATTGTTATATCCGTGCCGACTCCGGCATCCGTCTCCGATATCCGTCTCCGGTATTTGGTTTTTATGCAATGAAGATTTACTGAGCGTTTCCAATTACTCCGACTTATGATCTATGCAATCATCTATGCCTTGTTCCTCGTATGCAACTCCTCTTCTACTTTACTTGACTTTGTTCTAATCTTGTTACTTACTTTGTTATACCTTATTCCGTTTCCGTTACTTCTCGTACTATAAATACTTTGATGTATTATCACGTACTTCAGTTTGTAAATTAACGTTGCTGGTCTCTATCTCCCAGCGTCATCTCGACTCCGCTCTCCCCTTCTTGTCTTGTCTTGGTCAACTGGAAGCCCCAGTCACCCAAACATCCTTCTGTGGTGTTCCGCCCCAAGTGCTCTACGACTTCGATTCCGTTTCCGACTTCCGACTCCGTCTCCGTTTCCGACTTCGACTCCGTCTCCGTCTCCGTCTCCGTCTCCGTCTCCGTCCCTCTGGTCGACACGGCACTTAACAGTATTTACAAACTCACTTCCTTTTGACCATGTCAAACGTACGCCTCTCTTCTGACAACATTGACCCCGCCAATACTGGTCAACGGCGTTCATCCCGCTTCTACGAACAAATGGTTCCTCTCACTTCGCCTATGGCGAACTTCACCTACAACGCTGGCGCTCCTGTCACTTTGGTTCCTGTTCCCGTTCCTCGGACACCTACTGGCACGACCAACCCTTTCCGGCCTGGTTTTGTCATGTCTCCGCAGGATCCTGATCCAAGTACTATCCCTATGCCAACGACTCCGCATCCAAACACGGGTCGTTTCTCTAGCGTCAGTTCCCCTCCCGTCTCTCCTACTTTTCGTTACCGACCCCTCAGTCCCACACGCCTTCACGACATCGAAGAAGAAAGCGAGCCAGTTCCAATGTATCGGCACGCTTTTAGCAGGCCCATGAGCCCTGCTCAAGGTCGCTCCGGAAACGAAAACGATTCCGGTCAAGGTCAACCAAACCACAACCGCTCTCCGACTCTTAGTGGCAAGCCGAGTCCGTTCTTGACTTCGCCATCTAGTCGATCTACAACCCCTCCTGGTTTCCCTGGAGGTGGACCTCCTGGCGGTGGTGGACCTGGCGGACCTGGTGGTGGTGGACCTGGTGGACCTGGTGGCGGCCCTGGTGGATCTGGAAATCCATTCTGGGGTCCCCCTAGAGGTGGTGGTGGCGGAGGAGGCGGAGGAGGTGGAGGTGGAGGTGGTGGGCCACCTGGTGGAGGTGGTGGTGCCGGAGTCCCTCGAGCTGGCTCTCCGGGCCGTGATCTTCAACGCGCTATGATTGGCGCTCTCCAAAATTTCCAACATTTCCTCACCAACTTTCCTCAGCGCAACAATGCTGCGCCCCGTTCCAATCGGAGTCTTCTCCGGGCACCGGACACATTCAACGGTTCTGAGCCCGCGAAGCTCGTCCCTTTCCTCACCCAGTGCTATATGCACTTTGCCGAGCGTGAGCAAGATTTCTCTACTGATGACGAGAAAATAATCTACATCACCTCGTATCTGCGCGGAAACGCATTGGCGTATTTTACGCCTAACCTGTATGCCATGAATCAGGGCCAGGCTATTGCGATTCCGGCTTGGGACGGCAATTTTCCTTTGTTCATCAAGGAACTCCAGGACAACTTTGGTCCTCAGGACCCGGTTGGCGACGGAGGACAAAATCCGGAATGTGACGATGAAGTCCGGTGATAAGATCACCACTTACATTATCCAATTTGACACCCTCGCTCTCATCACCAATTGGGGTGATTCCGGCTCTCCGACATACCTTCTATTCTGGTCTTCCTAAACGTATCAAGGACGACATGATGCACTACGTCTACGCTAATACGCTGGACGGAGTCAAGCAAACTGCCCGTCTCATCGACGGCAAGTATTGGAAGGCGTGAAGCGGAGAAGCAGAGGGAGCAGGAGTTAAGAGATTCTCATGGTGGTGGATCTGGTTCTGGTT